CTCTTCGCGAACCGAGACGAGCCGCAGCGACATTTTGCGTTTTCTATGAGCGCAATAATGGGTCGCGTGAGCAGCCATTTTGTTTCCCATCTCACCCAGATAGATCATGTTGTATTTTGTTTCATGCACCTAGCCAATTTTGGACATGAGCCATCCTTTTGTTTTTTTTTTCCATCGAACCAAGATGGACTCTGGAGACAATTTTGTTTCTCAACGGAAAAGTAAATTTTCTGAATGGGTGCCGGTGTTCGAATACTTTTGTGACCGACTGTACCCCTAATTGCACGGTGAATAAAGAAAATCAGAAGAAAGAATAAAATACGACCTGTTTTATCCAGGGAAAGGTGCAGCAGTGGAGTTAAGGCGACGCTTCTGCGAGGCGAAAGCCAAAGAAAAAAACAACCCAGAGCCCGTGAGGCGAGGTATCCAGAGCCCGTGAGGCGAGGTCGATGAAATCGGTACAGTAGCGGGGGTGGCAGCAACGCAAGAAAACGGAGAGCGAAGCGATAAGACGTCTATCTCGAACGCTGTCCCGCTTCGGAATGAGATATTTATTAAATGTTAAATGGACGCGCTCTTGTATTTTCAATTTTCCGGCGTAGCTTTCTTTTAACTTTCGTCACGCGCTGTACTGCACGGGGAATAAAACAATTTAATTTATAATTCAACTAACATTACCTATTTAAATACCAAATCCGTAACAATATAATATATATAAATTATATATTATATTGTTACGGATTTGGTATTATATATATAAATTATTAATATTATTAATTTATATATATCTTATAGCTCTAATTTGAAGTGGTCAGACTCGCTCTCCTGTCTGCTGTTGAGTGGAAAGAGAATCCCGACTGGTTTTCCGGTATCGATCTCGACCGGTGTCCAAACTTAGACCCTTTTTTATTTCAATTTAGTACACGGAGTATTATACTCCGTGATTTAGTAACTTTCACGTTTCTCAGTTCAATTCAGTTGAGTTCTGATGCGAGAATAAGGCGCCAAAGGGAAGCCAAGCTTCAAGAAGAAGAAGAAGAACGCATTGAGAAATCGAACTGAACTGAATTAAGAGTGTTTTCATCAATTGGAAAAGAATCTTTCGGTGTGTTTGTAATTAAATTTTTGTGATTAATATTAAACAATAAAGAAATGGATGGAGGTAATTTATCACTGTATTTTGAGCTTGCTAAGAGTAAAAATTCATTTATTAATGCTTATACTATTATTTTATGTAAGATGGAAGGTTCAGTAGTATTTGAATTTATGTGTAAATAAAATTGCCGGTTATTGTTTTTCTAATTAAATGCACTGTTTTAGAAATTGCTTTGAACTTACAGTTTTAATACAAATATGGTAACTATGGGTTTTGATTCAGATGGCCTCTGCATGGATAACAAATTACTGAAATGGACTTTGTTTATTAACGAAAACTAATTTCGAAATTAAGTTATTTCAAAAACGAACTTTCTAATTCTAATTTCCCACAATGGGAGGAAAATTTTAAAGTAGAAATGGAAATCACGTTCGAAATCTATTGTGACTGATGTTCTGATAATATAGTTTATTTATTTTTTTATAAAGAAAAAAGTCTAATGTTCATTTCGTTTAAGTGTCTTTAAAAAACATTGCTTTTCTTTTAACCTCTACTTGGATGCAATTTGCCGAATTACTTTTATTCAAATTTTTGTAATTAGAAAGAAAGGAGGGAGGTTGATCTAGCAATGATGAAAAGGGTACATGGGGGGAGGGAAGGTTGAGAGCCACTGATCTTGAGGTATTTATGAAGTTTCTGTCTCGTCTTAAAATGTGGCAAGACCAGCTTTTGCAAAAGTTGTTTCTGATACTTTTGTATAAATTAGATTTTGATTATATTTACATTTATTCCACTGATATTCATCATAGTGAAAAATAGTATTATTAGCCAGAGGAATACATTTCTGACAACATTAAATCAAAATTTTAGGTGAAGTTTAGGTTAATCCAAGGGCAGTTTAAAAAAGCATAAAAGAAGTATAACATGTACTATAATTAACAGGAAAACATTAATAGCATTGCCTGTATTTTCAAACAGTTTGATCTCAAGATTAAGCATTTGTTTATGTGAATTAAATAATTATTCGAAACAGCACTGCACATAATGCTTTGCAAGAACACACTTTAAATAATGGGAAAAGAAATCAAGTTCTAACTTTTCATTTAGTCGGAATTATATTTTTTCCACAGATATAATCTGCTGCCATTGTTATTTATCCCACACATTTTCCTTTTTTGTATATTCAGTTAATGTTGCAGATTGCGTTATTCCTTAATCTTCGAATTGGATCCGGCTTATTATTTTTTGCAGACTGTTAGAGCAATTTTATAAAAGTAAGCTTGAACTTTCGATTATGTCAAATAGAATTTCCGATATATATTTACTAATATGTAAGGATCTACAAAGCAAAAGTATGTTTTGAAATCCGAAATCTGTTTATAAATTTCACGCTGCTGTGCAGCCGGGGGGAGGAAACGACACGGCGCGCAATGAATCGGAAGTTGATCTATCAGCACTATCCTTATCTTTCAGGGTGGATGTTTGTATTTTATTCGGCTTATAATTCCTTACTAAATGTAGTATTTTTTCTCGATGTACTCTGTTTTTGATATGATTTAAATCAAATTCCTCATCATTATAAATATCATGAATACACATCAAGTAGTTTGGTCACAATTTTCTAATTTCGACTATGTGCACGTTGAAAGAAATGTTTAATAAAGTAAACAAATAAATATTAAGCTTTTTCTTTTTGTAAATTTTGATACCCTTTAGATCATAATTGTTCTTTAGGCTAATCTTTAGAATATGGTAACAGGTAGTTTGGCGACATTTTGGTAAGGCGATAAAGGTTACTAGGTAATTACTTTAGCAATAATCTGAGAACTTACACAGTTCGAATCACACATTATTTTGTCTCAGAGAAATGAGAGGTCATGTGACATTTTCCGGAAAATTCTGATCGTGATTTTAGCTAATAAGCACTTAGAAATAATTTGCTGCTAAAGTGCAGAATCGCCCACTTATTTGTTTGGCGCTTTTTACAAGAGTAAGAAGAATTGGATTTTTGTCAATTTTCTTTCACTTTTTAAGTGAAAATAGGTCAATGTGTACACAGATAAAGTCAAGAGTGTGCGCAATGCCATTTTTGTGCAATTCTGGGATATTTTTTTAAGGGAAAATAGGTCGACGTGTACATGGATACCGTGTATGTGCAATTCTTAAAAACACGGCAAGCAGGCACTCTCAATTTTGCACCTAATCTTGTAATTGTAATTGTAGTCAGTAATGAAAGAGTATTCTAATCTTCGTCGTAATTAAGCATTTTTTTTCCATAAAAGCTCTAGCATAAGCATAATTCGGCTAGCAGATTGTTGGAAAAAATGTTAAGAGGAAAAAAAAAAAAAATGCCTTTAGTTCGTGAAAACAAAATGGCGTCCAAAACAAAACTAGCAGGTTGCTGTAGCAGGGTTGGTCGCCAAATTTTCGCCAAAAAATCGCAAAGTTACCATAATGTAAAGATCCACCATTCTTTATTTCATAAATTACGGTTTCATATTTTTAATTTTGTAATTTCTGCATGCCATCTTACCAGATTTAGACTGATGATCTATAATCCGGAATCGCCGAAGTCCCAACGAGTCCGGGTTAATGACTTTTGACTGTATTTGTAATTAATAAAATAATAGTATTTTCCCTGGAAGTTGTCTTTTCTTCCAACATGAGCACCTAAGAGGAAGTTATATTTACGGTTATGCATATATATATAAACCAGAGAGCCATTACCATTATGACCATCCTGTTAATAGCATGTAGGACCACCTTAAGCCCTCAAAACTGCCATCACCCAGCGTGGCATTGACGCCACAAGGTGCTAATATGCAGTCTGGGGTATCTGGTACCAAGTCTCCCCAACTGGTAATGCAATTCCCACACATGGCGAGGGGATAATGTGGCAGCGCAAATTCATTTTTCCAGGTGGAACCACAAATGCTCTATTGAACTAATGTCAGGTGGATTTGGAGGCCAAGACATGACTTGAAAGTCGCTGGAATGTTCCTCAAACCACTACTCAACCTTTATGACATGGTGCAGTATCCTGTTGGTAAACACTATCCCCTGCCAGAAATACTGTTATCATAAATGTGTTAACCTGGTCTGCAACAGTGTTCACTTAGTGCATAGATGTCAGGGATTGTCGTATGGGGGTTATGGGACCTAATGTGCTTCATGAAAACATTGCCCACACCATAATACCCCCCGGCACTGTTTTGTTTCCGTCCAACTGTGCATCCAGGTTCGTTTCGAAATGAGTGTATTAGCACACGCCCATCAATGTGATTTCTTGGACCATGTAACTTTCTTCCATTCTTCTAATGTCCAATTCCGATGTTTCTTGGCCTATTGCAAACCCATCTGGTGATGACGTGCGATTCGTGCAGGGGCATGCTTCGGTCTCTGGCTGAGGCCCAAATGCAGTAATGTATGGTGTACAGTGTGTTGAGAAACACTGTCTGGGTTGCCACTGTTGTAGCTGGTGGTGATTTCGGCTATTGTAGCTCTTCAGTCATGGTAAACAATTCGTAGCAATCTCTGCTCTCCTCTGGAATTAATGTACCTTCGACAACACGCTGCTGGCCAGTGACTTCTTGTTTCACCATCTGTACACCACTTTTGATATAAGCTCACAACTGCATTTGATTTTGATGTTCCCAGTCGCCGAGCCATAACAATTTGACCTTTATCAAAGTCTGATAAATCAGCTGCTTTTCCCATTATGTTGCTAATCACACTATGTTTGGAAAGACAGTGCATAACTGCTTTATATACTCCATCACCAGCCGCTTATTATGCCCAGTGGTTTTGTTCCGGGATGAGCCCATTGTTATTGATGAAGGGTGGTCATAATGTAATGGCTCTTCAGTGTATATCAGTAATGAAAGAGTATTTTAAAAGTACTGATGTAGGAACACTGTGACATAGAAACAGCAATGTTATTAGGCATAAAACGTAGATCCATATTGAAGAGGAATTTTGATCACATGAAATGCTGATCCACAATGGATAGGAAAACTGGCAGCCGAGGCAGATTAAATCTTCATTTTATTTCAGTAAACATGTTGTGGCCACAAACAACTTGGCACTTTATTTGTGCCTATTTCATGAGGTTTACATTTTTGATAACTTTGCAGTAGAAAGAAGCAGCAGTCCAGCTACACCGAAGCAAAGTGTAGAAAGCAAGCAAATATGTTATATTTGGATGAAATCTTAATTCAGACCGAGTTAATTTTTGTTCTCAATGCATTTTGATTGGATAATTAATACTGTTGTAAAATCATTATTAATTATTATTGGCTGTTTGGGTTTTAGTTCCATTTACATCATCAGAGTTATGATACAGTCATATGACATGAATTAGTCTCCAAATGAGGCATTGCAAAGAGGAATTACTATTTTTAGAATATAGAGGGGAATTAATTTATGCTGCTAATTTAAATTATAATTTATCTTTCACATATTCTTTATTTTTCTTACACACACATGTAATAGAAACAAATTTAGAAGTAATGAACGACAGGAATTTTGATATTGCAGAATGCTGAAACACTAATCCACAATGAAATAGGAAATTTGGCAGTCTCGAGGCAGTTTTAATTCCACTTTTATTTAAATCCACATTTTCAGCCACACTCGGCATTCTAATCATGCCTATTTTAAGAACATTTACATTTTTTAATGTGGTAATACTTTCTCTTTAATTGTATTAAACAGACATAATTTCTTGTTTAGTTACAAAGTTCCGTTGTTCAAGTCCTATAATTGCTGCATCGAGAATACCGACTAATTTGTCAATCGAAATTTTTTCGTTTTCAATAACCTCTGTGTCACTTTCTTCATTATCGGAACCGAATTATAATGACGAGGAACTTGATTTAAATCATATCAAAGACAGAGTACATCAAGATGAAATACTACATTTAGTAAGGAATTATAAGCCAAATAAAATATAACATCTGCCCTGAAGATAAGGATAGTGCTGACAGATCAACTTCCAATTCATTGCGTTCCGCGGCGTCCCCCCGCCGCAGAGCAGCATGAAATTGATAAACAGATTTCGAAACATA